ACGCAAATCAATTCCGAACTACGTTGGTTTGAGCCCATCAAGGGTACGTAGGTAGTCTTCCATACCAATAGATGCAACTGCAACCAAATTTGAATCCCTAGTTTATTTTTTTAACTAAATTCACCCCAAACACAATTCCATATTGAATCTCTGGTTTATTCAGCTAAATTCACTCAAACACTTCTCAATACAATTCAAATCAAATTTTCCTTACAATAAGTCATTTATTCATTGTGATTCTTTGAACTACGAGTGGCTTGATTCCAGCAAGGGATACGTAGGCACCCTGAGGTTGAACTTGGGAGCAGCCACAAAACCAAACACACATGTTTTGTTTCTTTATGATGGAATCAAAGGGTGTTCCCTTAAAGCAAGGGATTGTAATTAAGAGACATTGCGTCTCGAATGGGTCGAACCTAAAATAATAAAACCCCATTATTTAATTAGTGGAGGTGAAATTATGTTGGGAGGTTAACATTTTTCTTCAACATAATTTTTGGCACGTCTGGTGGGACCCATTCTCCTTTTCATTTCCATTCTTAAATAGACTAATCATATTTACTTTGTGTTTGCCTTAGGCTGTTAAAAACCAAAACAAGGGCACCACAAGTTATGCTTTACTTCCAAGAGCTCCTTCAGAGTTATGGCTAGCAAGGCCTCTGCAAAGGTCATTAATGCCCAAGCCACAATAACTCCATCTAAGAAGGCAACCCCAAAATGCAAGAAAGAAGGTTGTTAGAGCTCCAATGAAGAAAGCTAACTGTAAAGTTATCCCAATCATAGATTTTGAAGTTGCTGCAACAAATGCTATTAAGGCTAACTTCTTCAAAGCCATCAATGGTTGCTAAGGCCATAAAGGACCAACCGTCGTCAACTTGAGTATCTCAAAACCTATGATGGTGATTTTTGCTAAAGAACTTGTACTATCCAAGTATGCTCACCAAGTTGCTAAATCAGCAAGGTTGAACAAGTCCAACAAATTCATAAATATAAATAGAGCAAAGTAAAGCTCTGTCAATCAAGTGACGAGAGCTCGAGCACCACATGGGGCATTTCCCCCCACATACAAGTCAAATCAAGACATGAAGCTGATATGTCACAGGGGCAATCCCTTCAGCTCAAAGTCAAATCAAGACATGAAACAGAGTTCGTAGACACGTAATGGGCCCAAATCGAAGTTGAAACGAAGACGTTTTGATCTACGGATTTCAGCACTTTCTCTCTCTCTCTCTCTCTCTCTCTCTCTCTCTCTCTCTCTCTCTCTCCCTTGCGACAACTCTCTCTCTCAAGCGTGAACAGTGGCAGTGCCACTTCTAGTCATTTTTCCGTCGCTGTCCGGCCACAGTTGGCGGTGCAACCTTCACGAAACTTGTTCCCTTCTTCCTCCCCTACAAAACCCATCCAAGATCCACCCTTGAAACCCAACAGATAGCCTGGAAATTGCAGCGGTTATGCTGGCTATTTCTGGCCACCACCGACTGCCATTTTTTTTTCCCAAAACACTCCTATCCTTCTCCTTTACCTTTCCCCTTCAAAACCCGACCCGCAACCTCGCCGGATTGCTCGAATCAAAGCCGGGAAATTCCTAGGTTTTCGGCGAGAAAAACCAATCGTTCGAGGCCATTAATGGCCAAATTGATCTTTGATGCACGTATAAAACTTACTCCCCTTGTTGAGCTTGATCATTTGGTATAAGGCTTGACTGGCGGTTTGGAGCTTTTCGGTAGCCGGAAATTTCCTCAAGCCACCCGCCACTGTTGGCGGCGCGTGATGGCTCGTGGGTCACCCAATGGCGGCCCACTTTGCCCTATAATTCAACCCACGTTGTCCCGAGCATGGCGGTATGCTTGGATTGGTGAGACTTCGTCGTTTAACCAACGATCGAGGTTTCTCCTATTAGGTACTGTTTGTTCGGGAACTACCGAATTGATTCTTTAGGGTTTCATACACTTAGGGTTCCAGGACAGCTAGAATTCACTTTTTAAGTCCAGTTTGGAACTATTGTTTTACTCATGGTTGTATCCTTTCAACTAGGTTCACAGATGCCACGTACCGCTCTGGACGCACCTAATCAGGGTTGAGCACACTTGGACCCACAGTGAGTGGACATTTGTTTTATAAATGATTTTCTTGCTATGATGGTTTCATGAATGTTTTATGATTTATTTATCGCTTTTACTTTCTATACATGATTTTGTGGTTTATATTCGGATTTGGTTTTTCAATTTTGTCTAAATGGATTATGGATCTTATTATTTACTTTATGGTTTGGAAAGTTGAGAAAGGATTTGGCAAATGGTTTTGGGTGGTAGTTTTATGTAATAAAGGGTTTTATAACATATTCTAGAAAGGTTTTCAAACCCACCATAGGTACCCTAGTAGTTACCTTCGGAAATATTATTGCCTTTCGGAATATTTGTTGCCTTCAGATATTATGATGTTCTCGGACATCCCAGTTCCCTTCGAAAATTAAAATGTCTTTGGACAACTTCGTTGCCTTCGGATAAGTCTACACGCGTATGACATTGCCCCACGAGTCCCGAGGACACCCAAACCGTGTGGTGCTAGGATTTGCGTCTCAGGCTGACCTCGTGTCCCTCGATTCTGCTAGGATTTGCCTCTCAAGCTGACCTCGTGTCCCCCCGATTTTGCTAGGATTTGCATCTCAAGCTGACTTTGTGTCCCCTAGTTTTGCTAGGATTTGAGTCTCGAGTTGACCTCGTGTCCCCCGATTCAGCTAGGATTTGCGTCTCGGGCCGACCTCGTGTCCCCCAATTCTGCTAGGATGTGCCACACATGTGCAGTGGATAGTTCCACATGTGTTGTGAGGCTTGTGGCCATTCGGATTACTTGTTTCAGTTTGTGGACTTTTCTTGTGCATGCTGAATGTTTGGGTTTTAAACTATGCTTCTACATGTGGTGTTGTTGGGTTGAGCCTTTTTTAGGGGAGACTCTACTGGTTTTCTAGTAGGAGTCTAACCCTAAAGTGGTTTTAATTTCCTTTGGTTTCGTTTTAGAAGTGTAAGTTGGTAATTTGGGCCCGACATCTGCCAGGTGTCGGATAGGCACAGAAGGCTTCCATTGCCAAGTACACCAGACAGTGCACGCTATATGTTCTTAATCAATGTGTGATTAGGTGTCAATCTCTTTCGTGCGCTTGTTCAGAGGTAGAATTTGTCAATTTAGCTATCTTTTGTCCATGTGTTATTATGTCTTTGAAAATGTGAAATCTTGCTCCCACATGTACTTAAGTGAAACAAAATTACAGGTACTACATTCATGTTCATAGCTATGTTATATTTAATACTTACAAATACATATATATCTGTACTCATATATATGAGTACATGTACATCTTTATTCCTAGGTATAAATTCAAAACAGTGTATTAATCAAAGGACTAAAATCAAATTTAACCGAATGACTCAATTTTAATGATGAAAAAAGCATTTATTATTAGGTACGTACACAATATAATATTGTAATAAAATAAATAAATAAATAAAAAGAAGAAGAAAGTGAAGATGCTTAATGAGGGATATCCAAGGATTGAAATATCGGCCGATACACCGATATATCGGCCGATATATCAATATTTTCGGCTATCGACATCGATACTGGGGGGTAAGGCTATATCTTCCCCGATATCGACAATATATCCCCGATAAGTACGATATCCCGGATATTTTGCCAATATCCCCGATATTTCCCGATACCCATAACAGAACCCAAAAAAAATTTAGAAGTTTTGATGGCAATTGAAACAAATTAGAACTGAAAAATAGCTAATTCTTGCCTAAAACCCTATAATTTATTAATATGAAGAATCTATGCACAGTCCACTGCCCAGATACCTCCAATCCATCTAAAGAGGACATGGCGATTAGTTTTGGATCTATGAGCATAAGAACTAAACCTAGTACTAACTCAAATGAATCTTATGATGGCTATGGTTATGTCATGTCTTATTATAGTGGAACTAGTTATGGAGCTCAAGATGATGAAACAGATTATGGACCTACTAGTTTGGTTAATCCTAACTATCTCATATATGGGAGGACATTAGGGAGCTCAAGAGAGACGTATGTGCACCATGTTCAAACATGGCTTACAAAGTTGTTCCTCATTGTTTCAACCTCATAGGAGCTCTTCATTTATGTAGATGGACACTTATCTAAATTGTAATCCAATGTTTAAACAAACTATGGATTTATGCATGGTTTATTCATTCTAATCAACATTTTATTTTCAAACTTTTCATTAACGCGTGTTACATACCACTTATATTTCATCATATGTATATCTTATTATTAGTAAATTTTGAGTTCTATTTGTTCAATACATTCATTGATAATGTAAATAACATCTATGAAAGTTTTACACCAAAATTATGTGTTTCAATGCCTATATCTATCATTTTTGTTGATTTTTTACCGATACCTAAAACGATAACGATATATCCGCCGAAATATCCGTAAATTGGAGGCCCGATATTATCTGCACAGCCGATATTTTAATCCTTGGGGATATCTATGGAGATAAAAATATGATTTTAAAATATTTTTTTGGCAGTGGGTAGAATGACATTTTAGCTGTGTACTATTGGGAAAGCATTCTTAAGGAATGCATTTAATAATTTATTGTGTTTTTCATATAAACAAAAGATCATTAGCCACCTAAACAATCATGTTAACCACAAATAGGAGGTTCACAAGAAGAGAAATAAAGGGCATGAATGTGAAGTTCTATTTCTGGTGATGTGCTGAAGTGGTACGTGACGATCGATGTAGAAGAGAGAAAGATGGAAAGATATTCGATCGACTTCCATCGATCCCTTTCAGACTTTGGTTTCTATTGAAAGATTGACAATATTATTAAAGTTAGAGTTAATAAAAAGTCCAGATGACTCAGCGAGGTAGATGATCAATAGGTGTGAAAAAGTTCCTTCCCTTTAAGAGACCATGTATATAAAGCCTTCACATGCTCATAACACTATTTGAAATTAAGTGTGAGGTCATTTTGGATTGGAAGAGAAGGCAGAAGAGAGGGAGAGAAAGAGAGAGACATGGGAAGGCCTCCTTGCTGTGAGAAGGTTGGCATCAAGAAGGGTCCATGGACCCCTGAGGAGGACATCATCCTTGTCTCTTACATCCAAGAACACGGTCCGGGCAATTGGAGATCAGTTCCCACAAACACTGGTAATTAAGCAACAGCTTAAATTACTTAATTTTATTTATTTAATTTGTATCTCTCATAAATCCAATATGGCTTATATATATTGCAGTGGATATATGTTCTTTGTCATGAATTAATATTTGGTGGTTTCCTTGTTTAATTTTGCTGCAAAATATATAGGGTTGTTGAGGTGCAGCAAAAGTTGCAGGCTCAGATGGACTAACTACCTCAGACCTGGAATCAAGAGAGGGAACTTCACACCTCATGAAGAAGGGATGATCATTCATTTGCAAGCTTTACTGGGTAACAAGTAATTCATCCTCAAAACTTATATTATTTCTTTTCTATATATTATGAACTTTTTTTTAAATAAAAATTGTCTGTGTGTATTATTAATTCTTATAGGTGTGAATTAATTTGGTGAATTTAATTATTATATCATTGGTTTAAACAGATGGGCAGCCATAGCTTCCTACCTCCCACAGAGAACAGACAATGACATAAAGAACTACTGGAACACCCACTTGAAGAAGAAGCTGAAGAAATTTCAATCAGCTCTAGACCCTCACATGGCATCAGACTCAACCACAAGTACCAGTCATCAACTAAATATTGTATCAAGGAGGAGTTTGAGTGAAGGGAGCTTAAATAATATGGCAAGTCATGCCTCCTCAGTTACTCTGAAGAACAACCAATCCTCCACATATGCCTCGAGCACCGCAAACATTTCGCGACTCCTGGAAGGTTGGATGAGATCCTCCCCAACCCCAAAGACACTGTCTAACACTAACCATCTCAAACTCAATGCATCTGATGATCTTCAGGATCAAGAAACACCTGCTGGAAATCTAGTATCTCGTCACGAAGAGTTAGAATCGATTTTGTCGTATGAGAACTTGAACAATGTTGCTTCATGGGACAGGTCCACTTGTGATTCTACTCAGTCTGATAATAAGTTGAACCCTCGATGTGGTAAGGTTGCAAATGATGGCGAAATAATTCATGATGATGATCTTGTGCCTGATCATGATCAGAAGAACAAGCAAATTATTAGATGTGAGAGCAGTACAAGTGCTCCTCCATTATCATTTCTCGAGAAGTGGCTGTTGGATGAAAGTGCTGGACAAGTAGACGATGATCAGATGATGGAATTGTCTCCGATGTCCTCGGTTTGAGCTACCTAAAACAAAAACAAAAACCAACAAAGAAGGGTGTTTATTGATCTCTTTTGTGCTGAGGTTTCAACAAGTCTGGAATCTCTATGCTGATAATTGTAATTTTTTTTTCTTCTCTTGCTGAATGGATTAAGGAAGTTGATCATCATTTCTACCTAGTGTGTGAAATTAAGGAACTATAATCAGCTGATTAACTATGCTAATTGTCATCCCAAATGCTTTCATACAAACCAATTTTATTAGGATGCAGTCCAACAATACCAAAAATTGAGTTTTAAATCCCATATATTAAATGGAAATTAGAATGTATTTTAAAAAAAACTCATTTATTGGGGTCCCTTCATGGTAGCTGGAGGCTGGTGCTACATACATGTATAAAGGTAATTAATTATTGAGTAAACATCTAGGTTGGCATCTGGGTTGGCATGTAGACTGTTATTCAAGTTTAGAAGTCATTGCTCCTTGGTAATTAACCACTTATTATATACTTCAAATAAGTTATGAGAGAGAGAGAGAGAGAGAGAGAGAGAGAGAGAGAGGGAGATGAATTAAAAGTTTTACCAAATCTTTTTGTTCTATGTTTGAGTGTACTATTTATGCTAATTAATTATGAACTTGAAGAAATAATTAGCTAGAGATATAGGGGAAAGGGATAATAGCCATATAAGTAAATGGGATTTGCGTCACGAAAGTCATGCAACCAAATGAGGTAAATGGTTGCCTCAAAAACCCTACTTTTTGGGGGAAAATGAGGGCAAAACATGTGAGCATATTCACCTTTCGGTGCGAGAAGCTGTGATCTTAGGGCTTCCAAGCCTACCATGCAAATTGAAAAGCTAAGTTTTCACAGGACATATAAAAGGGTTTGACTGTCATGCCTGTGCCTTTACAGACACAACAACAAATCACAAAACACCACCTTCCTATTGTGGTCCCTTAGTTTCACAATAATTTATAAAAACGATGAAAAATAAAACCCAAGAAATGAAATTACAAACTCGGGTTTTTGTTGTAATACAAGAGATAGTTTAAACTACAAAAAGAAAGGGAATTTCTTACATACACGCTACCAAAGTGTCATGGGAATTCGAACATGAGATAACTGGTTTGCAAATTGAGACTCTTTTTCACTCAACTAGACTTTATTGGGTTTTTTTTTTCTTTCCTAAAGTAGAATGAATAGCTTATATATCCATTATAAAGCGGCACACTGTGGTTCGTAGTGGCCAACCAAACATGAGGTGCACCATTAATTATGGACTCCCAATAATCGAAAACATGACAGTCTTTATTACATCCAATAGGACAATTATTTCAAATGCTAGATAACCGACCTTCATCTTCCAACTTACCTAAATGTTGTCTTACAATCTTTTAGCTCATTTAAGGCCCTTTAATATTTCAATTATTTAGCATACTAGCGCATCACCACCTTACACTTGTGTTAAGAGCACTTCCAACAGCAAGGGGAAGCCCACGAAGGAGAGGGCCTAGGCCGGCGTGACGGCTCCGGCGAGCAAGGGCACGCTCAGGCAAGGCGTGGGGCCCACCAACCCGGGCAAGCCCACAGGCAAATCCAGCCCGTGCTGCTGCCTGGGCAAGTGACGTAATGCTGACGTCAACAGCCAATTAAAATAATAAAAAATTGAAAAGGAAAAGAAGGAAAAAAAGGAAAAAAATACCAAAAAATTTAGAATATTTTTTTTAGTAAATACCTAGCCATATTCTTTACTTCCCACACCCAAACCCTAAACCCTAAACCCTATCAAAATTAATCGTTTATGTCTAAATAAATAAAAATTAATTTAAAGTGAATAGTAATTGCCCTTTGCCATGACAATGGGTGGAAACACACTTTGCCTTTTGCAAGGTCTGGCACTATTTATGTGAATAATAACAGCTCTTTCCTCCCCTTGCCCTTTGCCAAGGCAAATGGGTGGAAGTGCTCTAAGGAGTTTAAAATAAAATGAAAAAAGGCACACACAAAAAACCTATTGGTTATGATTAACTTGAAAGATGCTATGTTCCTTTGAGAATCTTAACCAAAGTCCACACATGAGCCAGAGCATGGCCCAATCCAATTTGTACTCAAAGTATAACCAGGACTTTAATTTTTATTTTTTTTAGTACAAGAGATTAGAGGAGGGGGGTATACACAAATATTCATTGGGTGTCTGAGATTTCTAACGTATGCCCACATAGGTGGAGAAGGAAAAACTCAACCAACCAACTGAGCTATACCCCACTGCCAACTTTTTTTCTTTTTTTTTGAACAAGGATGGCTAAGACTTATGACAAGTTCTTTCTAAACTTCTAAGGATGACCAAGACATATTAAGTTCTTTCTAAACTTCCAATGTGGGACTAACTTATGAGTTCTGCTCTATGTAACATGGGAGAGAAATTTTTGTAAAGAACTTGAAACACAACACTTTATTGTAAATATGGGTTTATAATAAGAATACATTGTGTCCGAGAACAAATCTTTCATAGTGGAGGTGATGTCGATGTAGCCCATGCACAAAATCACAAGATAAATGACTGCCTAGACCTAGAGGACTCGGATATGGCGTATCAAGTGCTCTCCAACAGTTTAATTTATGGTTCATCCATGATGTTATTGTTCAACAATTTTTTTTTAAATTGCTATATTTATTTAATTTGATTAATGCTACAGAATTTAGTGCAGAGTCCTTTTTAGAGACAAAGGAAAGCCAGGATGCTTCACTGATGAAGGCCACATTGGGGGAAATGAGCAGAAAGATGTGAAGAGACTTGGCTAAAGAAGAAAAAGCAGGAAGAACATATGCCAGGGTTTCTAAGGTAAAGAAGAGCTTCCAGCGCCTATAAAATAAAGCAATGAATTTCCCAAAGAACCAACTCAAAGCAGGACGAGCAAGCACATATACTGTAAGTATTGGAGAGATTAGAAGTTTAGAACCAAATAAAAAGCTGCTTTGGCCTATGTCACAACAAGAAGATCACTAGATACATATGTTTTAAGAGTTATTTACTCTAACACCCCCTGAGGTCATTGGTGTTTTCACAAAACCCTTCAAGTTTTGGAAATTACACAAACATCCCCTGATGTTTCAAATTATTTTCACAAAACCCCTCCCATTAAGTTTTCACCTAAACAAACAATTTTCCTCCAATGACAATGTTAACCTCAGAGATTAGATTGCACATACACCTTTGATGTCTAATCGTTGATTTAACATTGTCATTTGAAGAATTTTTTTAAAAGAAATCATCAATTTTTTCAACGGAAAATAAAAGAAAGGGGTTTTGTGAAAACAAAACCTCAGCGGGTTAGTGTAATTTATGAAACCTGAAAGGGTTTTGTGAAAACGCCACAAACCTCTTCGGTGTCAATGTAGATAGCTATGTTTTAACTTAAGCCTCTAGATTAACTACATAATTCTCACCCTACAGATTAAAGTAGAAACTAACGTAAAGTTTTCACATGGACAATACTAGATGATATGGCACCCAATGTATTATTGATATGGTCTAACTCCACTAGATGATTAATGGCCATTTTTATAACACTGGCGGACCTACATAGAGCCTAATGTGGGCAGCTACTTACACTCATGCGTAAGTAAAATGCATGTATTAATTAGTTGACGCCAATTGTAAAACCTTACTTAATCTGTTCATGTTAATTAAATTGGCAGCATAGCACAGGCATATAAACCAGATCCCATCTCAAATTAATAACGCAACAATATTCCTTGAGTGACCTGGAAGAAAACCTCACAACATTAGTGTTTGATTGTTTTCTAGATATTTTATATTTATAAGAGTTTAAAAGGTGTAGTTGTATTGGCATTGGCGGACCTATATAAAGCCTAGTGTGGGCAGCTACCTACACTTAATTTCTTCTTCAACCATGTAGGCTACAATAAATAAGACATTTGCCTAACAAATAAATAAAACCTTCAAGATTTTTAACCCAAATTTCCCATAGTCAAAATATGAAGGCCCCAAAGTTGACAAAGGATCAAGACCCAGTTCAAAAAATAACTTAGTTTGTCCTCCCTCATACATGCATTTTGTGTTCATAAAATAAATAGTTATGTAAATATATAATATTGCTACATAAATAAATATTATTATATTATTATATAATATTTATGCCCACACTTTGACAAGATGCCGGATCCCCCACTGTTTGTATAAATAGAAACAATGCAGGATACAGAAACAAAATATGTATCCTATATCAAATTACATAAATGCTGCCTCTGCAACATGAGGCCAAGCAACCTATCTAGGGAAAAAAAAAGGTTTATTTTCCAATTTGATGATATATAACAGTAAAAATACAATACCTTTTTTTTCTCAGAAACATGGTGGTTTCTGTTTGCTTCATAAAATGTTAGGTGTCAATCTTTTGGACGATACATTGTCTGGAATAGTTGTGTTTATCTTCCTCGCATCTTCTGAACCTCTTCATGTATTGATCGGAAAAGTACAGTGGGAATATACCGCTCACCAAAGCTTGGAAATATAACCTATAATTTCAAAGAAAAAAAATTAATAGAAAGAATGCAGTACAAGATTAGAGTGTATATCGCAACAGAAGTGCCACCTATAACATATCGAGGCAAAGTCAATCAACACAATACTGTTTGGAATGGTATAAAATTTAATTTGTCAACTTATTAATTCAATGAGCAGATGCATGCGCGCCCGCAGGTGTGGCTGTACTAGTGTAAAAACACATTGGCCAGTAAAGATGGTATTTAAAATAAAATAAAAAGAAAGAAATCTAGAACATAACATCTACTACACAAATTGGAATTATGTACGGATGACTTACCCAGCAACATGAGTCTCCATTAAATAACGGAGAAACAGAGAACTGAGAATCAGAGATCAGTGAAATTTGTAAAAGAAATCAATGATGCTTAACTATGCTCTTGTTCATGATAATAGGATAAAATGTCAACAATAATGAATCAAATACAAATAGTATACTAACAGATTTGTGAACCTGTAGGGCGTACCAATCTTGGCAATGAGTTTGATATGAAGGATCTTGGTCCCTAAATTATTCTTTTGATTGTTTATGTATTCTCCCACTAACAAACATTTAGCTTTGATTTGTTTGAGGAAGGGTGACTAGGAAAGTTTCGGATAATTCATATGCATGCCCACAGATCAGTTTGTAGATATATGCACTAAAGGGCTCCATCTACATGGCCTTTGTTCTAACAGCCTCAAACGTTACCCAATTAAACTAAGCTAAACTAAATTAAGAGCCTAGTATTCAGCCAATAGACAGTGTATTATTACCAAAGTCAGATTAAAAAACAAAATGTTGTTAGTGAACTGTAATTAGTTAGATGTTGTTAGGACGTAGGAGGGTTATTTAGCTCAGCTCTTGCATTTAAGAGAAAACACTCTGTTTCAGCATTATTATGAATGAAATACGTTGTCAAACACAACAAGAGTTCTTTTTTTTAGCTTCTTACTTTGCAACACAAAAGAATTCTATCAGGAATTAGCTGTCACTTCGTCATAAGATTGGACCAAGGCATCTAATCTGAATCAGCCCCACGACCAAGACATCTAATCTGAATCAGCCCCACGACCAAGACATTTAATCTCAATCAGCCCCACAACGAAGACATATAATCTGAATCAGTTCCAGGATTGTGTTAACGAAGCATTTCGTTTGCGATTTGCTTCAGAAAAGTTTTCATATGCAACAAATGCATGCCATGATCACATTATCTTGATTAAACTACATCCTACACCCTTCAAGACAATTTTGTATTATCAATTAAATGATTCTGCATCAGTTTCTTATTCTTCATATTTCTTATAATTTGACCAACATTTTAGATCCAGGTAAAATGCTTTAGCAATGAAACTATCTACTGCTTTGCTACAATTTGCATGACAAACTAATGACGCTAAAAGCACACATTAAAGCTAGTCAAATCATATAAATAATCTTTATAGGGAGGAATAAAATGAGAAACAAAACCAAAAAAGAACCTCACCGTGATTAGTTTTCCAGTATTTTCAGGCCTTCTTGCTAAACTTATTGCAGCAGCTGCAGCAGCTCCTGATGAAATACCAACCTACAGACAAGTATTTGCATATTGAATTATCAAAATCACCTTGAATTAGGATAGAATTACAGAAAGTGGGATGAATTTCTAAGTTAAACAGCTAATAAATTATAGCAGAAGTTAGAATCCGTTGCTCATAAAGTGCTCCATGTCAAAGAATATTCGAAAATTACCAGTAAACCTTCCTCCAATGCTAGTCTCCTTGCCATTTCAACAGCTTCATCATTAGTAACCTAGATTTGAAAAAAGAAAAATATATATATCATATAGTTAATTTTGAACTGAATGCACAAGTGAAAAGCAACCCACCCCAAAAAAAAAAGAAAAAAAAAAGAAGGCATGTAGACAATCAAGAGGCTGATTGACATAGCAAATCCCAAATACTCATCCAGTAATACCTTATAACGCAGTATTTGTTGGGAGAGAGAAGAAGAAAACAATATGAGTGGGATAGACAGGATCAGAGAGAGGAAGAGAGGAGAAAAAAAAAAGAGAGGAAAGGGGAGTGGACATAAAACAAGAGGGAGGCTACAGTTAGGGTTTCTAATTCAATATTCCTAATCAAGTCTGTCTTCAATGAGTAGTGACATATGCCTAGATTTTACACTGAAGAAATTCAACAGTGTAGTGCCAAGACACCTCGAAGTGAAGGCCACCCTTACTCTCGACCTATCTGAAATCATGTTTGTGATCCAGGAGGTTTTCCAACAAAAACTACTCGGTGAATCACATGACCTTATGACTATATGATTGCTTCCCCTTTCCAAGGTTACTAACCAACACACTCGCCCCCATCAATAGGTCCTTAAGTCATCTAGGCTCATTCCATACATCTGCTCTGCTAAGTTTGCTTCCTACATTGGTAGCAAGTAGTGAAATATAATGCCAAGACAAATTTCTGGTCTTTCTTAAATACCTCACTAATAGCCATCCTGCCACTAAGGGAAAGCCCGTATACAAGCACCATAGGCCAACCCTTATGCTAAACACACAAACGTATATACAAGCATAACGCCCAAGAGAAGAACTCATTTCTAGTGCAGGGTCACCCTTCCCTTACTTTTTGGCATTGTGTATACTATGAGCACCGCTTAACCAAAACCTATTCCCTTACCTGGTGCTACACAACAAAGGTGCATCACAAAGCCCCAAGGTCTAGCATCAATTCCATTGTACTCATTTTGACCACACAAACTTATTTGTTTTTTTGGTTTCCTGAAATTCCATGTAATTTCCTCTCAAGAGAATTCCACATCAGGAGTATAAAGACTTGATGAGCAATATATAACATCTTTGGCCTTTCCGCCCATCTCAAAATGGGTTTAGGTTGGACGCACTAATTCTGTCAAAGTAACAAAGCAGGCAATCCATGTGTCCAGCACACACGGTACAGTCACCAACACGTGAGGGGGCATGTAGAAACAATCACATATTGAGAATTCAAGTCTTACACAGTACTGTAGAAGACTTGAGCCTCTCCACCAACTTCTAATTGTTTTTTTTTTTTTTTTGGTTTAGATGCTCTAACTCTATAACAACCCAAACTCCTAATTACAAGAATACCAATGCACAGTTTTTTAATGAGAAACAAATTTATTTTGAAGGGCTAAAATCACGATACAAAACATAGTGAACCAGATTCCACCATCAAAATGATGCAGCCTTAACAAACAAATCCAAAACACACCTAAATTGTAAAACAACTCTAAAAACAATCCTACAGCAGCTCCCCAATCTAATAAAATTACAGAAAATGAAAGATCCCTAAAAGCTGGAGAAAGAGAAGGGCATAAGGATGCCCAAAACCTGACTCTTTCTCAAGAATTCTCTTCTACATCCCCACTATAGTTCTTGAATTTTCTTCTATTTTTCTCCCACCAAATTACCCAAAAGACGGCTAACACAGTGCAACTCCACAAAATTCTTGCCTTCGTTCTGCCACCAAAAGACAAATACTTTTCACAAAGCATGTTTGAAGGTGACACAGAAAAAACCCAATTAACCTCTACCTCCCTGACTAACTGCCACCACAGCCTCAATGCATATATAACCAATGTGTGTTTACAACAATGTCACTCAATAACAAAAGGTATCTACTCACTCGTCATGCCAGTGCACCCCAAGTCCAAGCACACTCCATATGATAGTGCTCTCCACATGGATATTCACAAGATTGTCACCCAATAATAAAAGGGTTCTAAACACTTCCCTCACTGAGATGCATCTCAGATCTCATCTTGGTTCTTGTCTTGCTGGTATCTCGTCTCATGTTTGTCTTGTTGAGATCTCTTTTTGATTCCCGTCTCCGTTCTATTTGCTGTAGCAAGCTGAGAGTCACTGATATCTACCCTCCAACTTCATGGGGAGTTTTGTTTTGTAGGCTTATTATTAGTCATTCAGTGTAATGGCGGATTATTAGGCATTTAGCTTAAATAAGTCTGTTAGCTTATATTGAGGTATAAATTATAATTGTTGAATTAGCTTAATTTGAGGGCTAATCTTCAGGGCAGACTTATGTCTTTGTGTCCTATATCAAGACCAATGTAGTTTGTTGTTAAAATAATGAAATACAATGATCTTCCCTGCTTATTTTTTGAGCTTATTTACAACGGCTTCTTGGATGCCCTGCATCACCACCCTTGATTTGGCAGCTGGCACATTTAGTATCTCATCTCATATTATGTTCTCAGACATTTTATTTGAGATTATTTGTTTGTGTAAAGGCTGTGTTGTTTTTTTATTGTCATAATTGCAATAAAATTATGTTTCCTTTTCAAAATAAAAATAAAAATTTGTTCGTGTAAATATGCTTAATTTTTAGATTAATTCAGACCTGCTTTGGTAGTATCCCATGAGTCTTATTTCAATGCTTTTATTAACTTTCAGTCATTGTAGGTCAGAATTAGTGTCCAAAAGTATTTTAGCAATTTTAATGTGAGCCACTATTTAGCTATGGGTTAAAAGAAAATAATGATTTATTTATTGACTAAAAGCAGAAAATTGTTCAACTTTTATGCACCCAAGAGCTCTTTTCTGGGGTTCATGTGATGCCCGAGTTTTTCTCCTATCTCTTTTCATGCTACTTTCTTGGGCAATATTCTTCAAACCAGATCAAAATCAACTCAATCAAACCATTACAGCCAATCCTTAAATCCATATATAAGCCACTATCCAATAACTTTAAAACCCACCAAACCAGCCATCTTTATACTGTAAACCTACCAATTATTGTAACACCATTAAAATGCTAATAAACGCTTAATTTCTCAAACCATTAGCCAAAAAAAGAACTAGTTAAAAACCCATGTGCGTTGTCCTATTGCAAGAGACGACGAGAAAACAATAACACTAATAAAACCTAACAGACAACGCAAATCAATTTACCTTGATGACCTCATCAAGCAAATTAACATCCAAAATACTTGGCACATAACCTGCATGAAGAACTTACATAAATTTGTTAGTACAGGCATATCATATTCTTGAAAAAGGAATTGCAACAGAAAATTGATGTATTAAAGAATGAAGAGCAACATTGCTTTCACCTGGATTTTCTCCAGAGATCACACTCCTCTCTGCAGGTTCCACACCTACTACCTGGATAACCAAAATTACAAAACATGCAGCTTTCCAGAGTTACAAACAAAATAATCCATGAAACTGCAGTGACACTAATTTCCACTAATCAAGCCATGTAAGAGCAACCACTCAGATACCCCACCAGATATAGATCTACTAACAAGCTTGAAATCTCTAATGAAACTAAGTTGTCAAACTGCAATAATATTGCAAAGCAATAAACTTCAAAACAGAAAAAGAAAAAATAATAAGTTCATAATCACAGCCATTGGAAGTGCTATGTCATTCTAAGGCCTATGTACAATGTTATATTCCAAAAAAATATATATATAGATATATCTCATGAATGATATAGAACTCTTAAATGAATGTCTATTAACATTACAATCTGAACTTTAAAGTCAAATCCATAATATTCTGTTTCAATTTGAAAGGGACGCACAAATATCATTGAGATGAGCAATCATGAAATAATTCATTAATCTAGACGCGCAAGATATGTGTAACTTTCAATGAATTACTGTACATTATGAACTACCCTGACCTTTATCTCGTTGTTCATCGCTTTCAGGTAACGCCCAGTGCCTGTAACAGTACCACCAGTTCCAATAGCAGCAACAAATATGTCAACACTGCCCATGGTATCCTCCCATATTTCTGGCCCAGTAGTATCGAAATGTATCTGTGATTCATCATTTGAATCGTCATTATAATATAATACTATAAGATATAATATACGAAGATTAGGATAACCAATAGCATTTAGTCAAGACTTCCTGGAGAGAAAACAGAAACAACCTTTGCATTGGCGGTATTATCAAACTGTTGAAGCATATATGAATTTGGTGTTCTCAGAACAATCTCTCCAGCTTTATCTAAAGCTCCTTTCAAACCCTTTTCTGGATCTGTCAAAACAACCTCTGCCCCAAATGCACGTAAAAGAATCCTCCTTTCGAGATTTATGGATGCTGGCATGGTGACTATAAGTTTATACCCTTTAGTTGCTGCAACAAAAGCAATACCAAGTCCTGTATTTCCACTAGTTGGTTCAACTAATACACTCTGCATAGTTACAGAAAGAACATACAATTCTTTTATATAACAGAAATATGCAACAAACAACCTCCCCTCACCCCCCCAAATAAAAGGAAAAATAAAAAACACAGCTTTCACCAACTATAATATCTTACTCCATGTGACTTGCAAAAGCATCTTAGATGACAAGGTGATATATTGATCTACACAGTAAATTTTTCATATAATGACTAATCAGCTCACCTTTCCAGGAGATATTAATCCACTTTTCTCAGCATTAGATATCATGCTACATCCAATTCTGAAATTTTAATCAGCAAATATAACATGAGCTTTTGCAATGTTTCTACATTCAACAAGCACAAAGGTTAACAAAATGGAAATCATAGTGGTATGGTAATTATTACTGGTCAGCAAAGATACTTAGTTCCATTAAAAATACATTACTTCAAACTTAAAGCGAGGATGAAGAAATTAACGATACTTCTTTAAATTTTGAGTACTACCACATGGGCCAATTATGTCCTAAAGTTTCATCAATAGGATGATTCCATTTACCTGATGAATCTTCTACCATCAGGATGGCAAACAAAGATTAAGAAGTAATTCTGGTAAATAAAGGTAACAGCATCTAGTAAGATCCATAATATGGGGTAAAATGACAATTCATCAGTAAGCAAGTTACCTATCCTTGACACTTCGGCACGGTTCCATAGATTCAAGCTTTGCTGCAATATTTGCCACACAACCTCCTGTAACTTTGTTGAGGTATACCATGGGTGTACTTCCAATCAACTATATCAGTTTATCAGCAAAATTCCAGTCAACAAAAATTTTTGACAATGAAAACCACTATGTACACAAATTGCACTGACTAAAACACGATTACATATTGTAATGAAACGTGTAAAGTGAGCACATTCAACAGCTACGTTGATACAAATTCAAAACCCACCTACTTATCATTACTTTCTCACAATGCCAAACCCAAAAACACATCAATATATATACAATATTACAAGAGATTCAACAAAGATAATTTTTGTCTCATATTTTTTCTGACCAACCAGCCAGTGCAGTGCCAAAATTGAAGATATGCCTTGTTGAAATCTCAGCATTAAGAAAGATTATTCCCATAGAAATTCAACAAATGTGCGTTGAAAAATACGCTATAACAAAATAACAAACCAGCGGCATAGAGCAGAACCTGGGTTACGTCCTCAGCGATATTGACAGTGTCGAGGTCTTCTCTGGTGGCGTAAACAGAGGAGGCTTTGGCAAACACGAGAGGGTATCGCTGGGTGAATTGTCTTCTGAGCAGAGCTCCATTAGTGGATGAGATGGAGCTGGAAACCTTGAAGGTTCCGAAACGGTGGCGTTTGGAGGGAAATGAAAAGGGATGAGGGAGAGGAAGAAGCAGAGGAGCTGATATTATAGCCATTGGTTAAGAAAAGGTTTTTGCGGGGTTTTAGATGGGGATTTCATGTACACGGTGGGGGCGAGTTAGCGTTTTTGCCCTTCCTTTCCTTTTTTATTATTTTATTATTTTATATTTTATATTTTTTATCAAATAGAAACTTCATTAGATAAACTTCAACGGTACAATCAAAAACACCAACAAAACATCTAAAATACCAATTTCAATATGGCAACAAACTAACATGCTAAAAGCAAAACTAAGACGAACAAAAACTGCACTAAAACTATTAGCTCACATCACCACAATTAGTCATAAGCCCAAATAAAGCCCATAAACCCAACATAACCAAAACCCTAAATCAACCCATAAGCCTAAACAAACCCTACCACCATCATCTGAAGAAGCACCGGCACGACCACACCCACCACCACATTCGTAACAAATATGGGGAAAATATGATTTCTAGCGATGTACCTACGCATAAGAGCGAACAAATAAACGAGAAAAACAACTTTGCCAAAGAACACTTGGGTGATTTGCAGCAACCTTCGTCAAAGACTATGTAGAATCAAATTTAGAAAACATGAGCAGCGTTAGGGAGCAGGTTTTGAGAGTAAGATTTGATTGAAACTAAAAGAGGTGATGGGGAACTTCAATCTAACCATGGCTTAGAAGAAACCACCACAAGGGGCTTTTTATTCAAAACGCTCCACTGGACTTATTCACTAACCTAAAAGGAAAAGACGAGAAGAGATTAAGGGAGGAAGGGCAGTGACGCTTCTTCCTCCTCCCCCCTCTATGGAATTTTCCTTTAGGACTCACATAGGGAGAGAACAGTTAGGGTTTGGGAAATGCATCCTTCCTTTCCTTTGTTTGCCACAAATGCGTCCGGAGCAAATTGAAGGGACCTATGGGTCAAATTCAGCATTTACTATGTAAAGTGTTTTTTTTTTCAACGGGTCCAACTGGAAAAGGCTCTTGACCTATAAACTAGGGGCTCGTTTGGTACGGAGGACTGTCATGGACTGGATTAAATACTGGGACTTTCTTGGATTGGCTTGGCCTGGCATAAGCTGGATAAGACTTGTCCTGCGTTTGGTGTATGCTTGGATTGGGACTAAATTTTTTAAAATTTTCTTTGAGGTGATATAATATTTTAATTAGAAACTATTTTTACTCCCAAGGTCAAAAATTAGTATTAAATTTTCCAAAACTTTGGGAACATGCCTATATTTTGATAACATTTCCCAAATGTCAAAGCTCAATTTCCCTAACACAAATTGCCAAACCGTCACTAGGTAATTGCAAACACATTATGCAATTGTCATCACAGTTTGCGAAAACCAACTACATGTTTGTCAATTGCCAAACCACTAGCCACATGACCTCTACCCTCGGGTTTATGCTTCCTTTCTTCCTTCAAACATGGTGAGACAACCTCCAAATCATCCCAACATCATAGCAAGCCAATTTTCACAACATATACAACAACTGGAGGACCCATGAATTTTTCTGTGGAGGTGCAATTTTAAAAGGTTAAAAGCTTTTTAAAAAAATTGACAACCAAATATTCTTATAATTTAAATAATACCAGTGCCATTCATAATTCATAGAAACAAAATAACATTACAATTAACCTCCAATTGTTGCCGTAAGTTGATGAAGAAGAAGAAGAAAAACGCAACATGTTTCAAAAAAAAATTTCTAGATTAACTATGAATTACATTCGAACTTACTTTGAAAGCTTGATTGATACAAAATTTTCTTCCTTGACACAAGACTTGATTGATGAATCAGTTTTTATAAAAGACTTGGAGTTCTCTCAAAATAAAAATAAAAAACAAAAAACAAGGGAAAACACAGACCTGGTGATGAGGATGCAAAAAAAGTTATAACATCCATAATGGGCTCCCTAAACTACCTCCTTAGCTAAAATTTAGAGAGGAATTGAAAAAACCCACCTCCAACCATGCTCCTTATCAAGCTCCTAAAATAGGGAGACCTCTATGAGCTCCTAAATTTGAGAAGAGAGAAAGGACTTCTAGTGACTCCCTATAATTAAATGCTACTATATTTTATTATTATTTTAAGCATTTATTTAATGATGTCTTTAATTTTATCATTTTGTATGCATTAGGTTGTTGCAAAACACAAACACTTTTCTTTTTTTGCTGTAGGTGTTTTGCAAAGCACGATCACTTTTAAAGAAAGTCATAGTTGTTGGAGGTCAGGCTTTCGATACTAATTGCTGGCACCCAATTTTTGAATTTTTTTTTTTCAATCTTGGAAACAGCTTTGGGGACATCTCTAGATAGATTGTAGTTTCTCAAGCTCATCGTGTGGAGCATCCTCATATTCTCAAACTCTGCCAAAATAGACAGAGTCAGTTTGTTGTAACTAAGATCCGAAGTCATCTTTTTGACAATTCATTCAACAATCTCAAAGTTCAAAGCTTTTAAAAAGGTTCTGAAGTAGGGCTCCTTGCGAACTGGGATTTCTGCAATTTCTACTTAAAAATGGCTTGCAGACTTGCAGATTCTAGGTTCCTCTCCATGACTTGGAAGGAAAACGGTCATCAAAGGTGATAGTTGATTGAGATGATGTGGCTTGTGGGCCTATATGGCTACTATGTGAGCCTTTATGGCTATTTTGTGAGTTTTTATGGCTTTATTGTAAAGTTCTCGCCTTTTCAAGTGCAGTCTTCTGTTATTTTCAAATCTTTCCTTTGTTTTCGCTTTTGGTTGCTGTTTGGAAAACATGGAAGGAGAAAATAGGGACTGGGAAGATGATCTTGTTAGACGTGTAGATGTCTAACCCATTAAAGTGTGGTCTTATAATCATCAAAGGATTCTAAAGACTTGATATCAATTAGGAGTTCAAGTGCAACTAAACCGGCAGCTCTATTTAAGTTAGTGTTTTAAGGCTAATATAAGAGCTAAAAGGATTCCTATTTAATTGTGGATTAGAAGTTATAAACCTAATGCAATAAGGACTTCTTAAGAGTTTCTTGATGGGCAAGACTCTTAGGTAGATGCATATAAATACAAGTGCCCCTGCTCAACCGATCAAGCCAACCCACACAAAAGAATTCACCCCATCTAGAATGAGTGTATGAAGGGATCGGATTGAGGAGATGTGCTCTTGTATAGCCTTGATGTGTGTTCTATCATGTGTAGTCATTATAGTTTACACACTAAAAGTAAACATAAAGTTTGTGTTTTTATTTTATTTGTATCCTTAGTTAACATGCAGATTGATGTTGGCTTGTTTTCGTTTGACTTACCTTTTGACTTATCAACATCCATGCGGCATATCTCTTCCCATTAATAATGTATAATAATAAAGTAAACTAAGGAAAAGTTTTGAGGTCCGATGGAAATTGACTTAAGCATGTATATGGTTTTTAGTTTCAATCTCAAATTTTGCAGCATGATAAACATGGCTTCAGTTTTGATATCTTTTGAAGCATGCTTAAATTTCATAAGTTGGATAAGTACTTTCTTTGCGGCAAAAGAATACATGCACAAGTATATATATTTAAGATAAAATTGGGGTTTTTAGTTTCAGTTTCAGTCATTGATGTTAAATTGACCCAAGCATGTTTTGTGTTGATTAAGTAATCGATTCTGTCATGAACTGTTTTGCCGTGACTTGTTTGGAGAAATATATTTAGCGATTCTTTGATCAATTATTTAATGCCATGATTAATTAAGCTGAGTTTTAGGTTTTTATACATAAGCATAACAAGTGTATATATGCATAAAGGTTTAAAGCACTAAACCAGAAAGATAAAAATCTAAAAAATAAAACCTTTAAAGTACATGTTATTTCTTATATTTTATGGCATTAACATATTTTATTAAGCATGTCATGATATAAAGTTCTTTATCATTATTCATGCTTGAAAGTTTATTGATCAAAGACTGGAGATCTCGAATATTGCATTAGTTAAGCGAGCCACAGCAGCTTAACTATTGCAGATTCATTTTCCAATCTAAAGATTGATCAATAATTGCATCACAGCTAGTAGCCTTTTGTGCTATTTTCATCCATAGATGAAAAGAATACAAATTGATGACAGATGTGATGGAACAACATAGAGAAAGGGTTTGTGTAAACTAACAGGAAATTTCTTGATCCACAGATGAGAATTTTTCCTGTACAAGAAGTTTACTCATACCTAATTCGTCTAGTGTTTTGGAACATGTTTAACTTATGACCCACAGGTGTGAGTTAATAATGTTTAAGTAAAGCTTCCTGGGGAAAGTTTATCCACGTACATTAATGGTGGAGTGACCCAGAAGATAACATATGTGAATTAATATAGGAATTTCTCTCTATCCACATATGTAGGGATTTAACCTACAAAAGAAATTCATATATCAACTCTTTTGGTGATCACTAAAAACATATTTGATTCTCAACCCACAGGTGTGAATCAATAATGTACAGATATTTAAGCACTATGAGACAGCTTATTCAGATATGTTTGTGTTTTAAAGACTTTTCGGAATGTCACAATAAACCTTAACTCCATTAGGTGCATATACGGTTTTGTTTTGTTTTATGGATTGTAACATGATACGTGTCCTATTTATTGGTTTTGATAAATCTCACGTGCTTAAGTTGCTAATGATAATTTATTAATAGTGATCTTAAATAGTCATAAAAGTTGTTTTCATGACTCAAGGAAAGATAAATATGGTTGATCACATAAAGGGAAACGTGAGCTATTTTGGAACTTTCTTTCTTGGCTATATTGTTTGTTTATGTACGGACATGTTTGAGACTTGGTTGCCTTTTGTATGCATTTAAGTGAATGTTTTGTAGCATCAATGCAACTTCACATGTAAAAGGATTGACATGTAGGTGATTTGGATTAAACCATGTATAGTTGAACTGATCCACATGTCTAAAAGTATTAATTTGTATTTGATGGATTGAATCATGTAAAGTTGGATTAATCCATAAGGCTGTGTCCGTCATAAAATAAATTGGCTGTTTTGTAAGGTCATGCAATATGAAGCTTAGATCATGTTTAAGGATATTGTTTTACTGTT